AGTACCTTGGGCTTATGTACATTTTTTGGACACATATGCCTTTCCGCAGCACTAAGTCCTGATGAATCCAAATTTAAAAAGTTTAGAGTAAAAAGTGTTATTTTAAGTTTATCTTTGGGGGATATATACCCCTTTCCAATTCCCTCTTTTTGCTTTAATAAGTAGATTTTAATAGTTTGATGAGCTCTTTCAACTATGCCTTGTCCCTGTGGATTGTATGGGATTCCTGTTATATGAGTAATGCCAAATGATGAGCAAAATTGTTTAAAAGAGGTAGAAGTATAGCCAGAACCATTATCTGTTTTTAACTGTTTTGGAACGCCCACAGTGGCAAAATTTTGTAAGCAATGAGCTATAATATCTTTAGTTTTTTCTCCGGCATGAAGGGAGCCTATCAAAAATCCAGAAGAAGTATCAACTGTAACATGCAAATATTATAATTTTCCAAATTTTGGCAAGTGTGTGACGTCCATCTGCCAAATATGGTTAGGTATCAGTCCTCTAGGATTGACTCCAAGATTAACTTGTGGTAAAAAGGTCACACAATTTTGACATTGTTTTATTATATGTCTGGCTTGTTCCTTAGTTATTTTAAAGCGCTTTTGTAAAGTATTAGCATTGACATGGAACCTTTTATGAAAATTTATAGCTTCTTCTATTGTGGAGAAAATATGTATGTCATGTGTAGATTTATTTGCTAAATCATTGCCCAAACTAAGGGCTCCAGGCAATCCTGTATGTGCCCTGATATGTCCTATAAAGAATGGATCTTTTCTGTTCCAGATTAGACTTTGTATAGTGGAAAACAAAGAGAAAACAGTAGAGGAAGGGGAAATCCTACCAGCATCTTCAAGGGATACAATAGCATTAACTACATACTGACTATCGGAAAATAAATTAAATACCGAATCTTTAAACATCACAAAAGCTTGTAATACTGCATTAAACTCTACCTTTTGAGCTGATTGTTTGGGTACTAAAAATGTAAAAGTTTGATCAGGGGTAACTACTGCAGCTGTACCATTATTTGACCCATCAGTGAATATATTTGGAGCATTCATGATAGGGTTTTTTTTTTGTTTTTTTTTTTTTTTGTCATTTTTGGAAAAACTACAGGATGCGAAGACCAAAAAGACAACAAAGGATTAGATGGTAAGTGGTTATCAAATGAAACATTAGATTTACACATGATTATTGCCCAAGTATTTAACTCACTAGCTAACTCATCAATCTGATCCATAGTATATGGAGTAATAATTTTATTGGGAGAAATTCCAAACACTCCCTTTGCTGTTTTTATTCCTTTGAGTATTAATTGTCCTACAGCCTCAGGATACCTAATAAGAATAGTGTTAGGAGAATAAGATAAATGTATCCACAATAATGGACCTTCTTGCCAAAATACTCCTATAGGAATATTTTTTGTTGGTAGTACAATAAATAATAAAGGCAAACTTATATCAATTCTATCCAAATGCATATTTTCCATATATGTTTCAATGATTTTTAATGCCTTTCTTGCTTCAGGCGTTAACATGCGGGGTGAATTTGGATCTGATGGACCTTTTAGGATATCAAATAAAGGTCCCAACTCTCCTGTTGGTATGCCTAGATAAGGCCTTATCCAATTTATGTCTCCCAATAACTTTTGAAAGTCATTAAGTGATTTGAGTTGATCTACTCGTATTTGAATTTTTGGTGGATGGACCATGGTTGAGGATAATAGAACTCCTAAATAATTAATTGGAAGATTTAATTGTACTTTATCTATTGCTATCTCTAGGTTATAATTTTTTAATAAATTTGTAAGTGTGGCATAACATTCTAGCAATGTGTTTTTATCTTTGTGTGCTAACAATACATCATCCATATAGTGAAATATTTGTAGTTCAGGATTTTGATTTCTAAGTGGCTGGATTGCTTTGTTAACATAAATTTGACACATAGTTGGGCTGTTAACCATCCCTTGAGGATGTACTTTCCATTCATATCTCTGATCAGGACCTTCATGATTCAGTGCAGGGATAGTAAATGCAAAACGTGGGCTATCCTCAGGATGAATTGGAATTGAAAAAAAAAACAATCTTTAATATCTATAGCTAAAACATACCAGGTTTTTGGCAAACCAGACAATTGGGGAATCCCTGATTGAGCAGGTCCCATAATAACCATCTCATTATTAATGGCTCTTAAATCTTGCAATAATCTCCATTTACCAGATTTCTTTTTAATGACAAAAATGGGAGTATTATGGGGAGATATGGAAGGTTGTATATGTCCCTCTGCTAATTGTTGTTTGACCAGGTCATGGGCTGCTTGTATCTTTTCTTTAGTCAGGGGCCACTGAGGAACCCATACTGGTCTTTCTGATTTCCAAGTAATTTTTATTGTCTCAGTGGCCCTTTTTGTAAACCCTATCCATGTCTATTTATTCCTTGATCTATTTGAATTGGTGCTGCTATACCTTGTTCTTATTTTCTTAATCTTTTTTCTTTCCTAAAACCTTGTCTACCCCTAGTAGTGAGGGCGTTAAGATTGATGTTATTTGTTAATGTCAAACCTAATTGATCTAGGACATCTCGTCCCCATAAATTTATAGGAAGATGATCCAATACATATGGCTGTATAGTTCCTTCACATTCTTCAGGATCCTTCTAATCTAATACCATCGCACTTCTATGGGGATTAGTTGCCACTCCTAGGCCTCAAAGCGTTTGAGTGGCTTGTTGTAACGGCCAATGTTTTGGCCATTCTTGACGAGATATGATGCTAAGGTCAGCACTTGTGTCCAGTAGCCCATTAAATTCATGTCCTTGAATATTTAGTTTTAGCATTGGGCGAGAATCTAAATTTAAAGACAGCATAGCCCAATCTACACCTGTGGATTACAATGAGAAGCCACTACACGTGCATCAGAACAGCCAAAGCCAGCACCCTGCATTCCTTCCATTCACCCACAGGAGCTGACCACTCACTCCACAGAAAAACCCAGTTCACCTCCTGACGGCTGAAGGTGAGTGCGAAGTGTCCTTAGATGTGTGCGTCCAGGCAGCGGAGCAGAGTGCACTAGCAAATAAGAGTGAGCTGTCAGCCACGAGCATACGGAAAAGCCAGTCCGCAAAGACTAGGCAGGTAGGAATGAGAGCGCTGACCTTCTGGACAAGGTCCAGCTGTTGGCAGGGGTCGGGGTGGGTGCAGAGGATTTCTGGGGCAGTAAAGCCATTCCGTGTGGCACTGCAGAGGTGGACATGACATTGCACTCTTGTCCAGGCCCCAGAACATGTGGCTCTGGGCGATGACATGGCAATGTAGGCTCACCCACCAACAGATGGACCCCCTGGGGGGACGGCGGTAGTGGGGGAAGCTGTGGGGTTGGTGTACCTTCCCCCACCTCCCTCCATCGACCTGGGAGCGGGGCCCAGCCAAGAGGGCTCTGCAGGCCTCCTGGTGTGGAGGCCCACAGCACAGCCCCTCCAGGGCAGTGCAGGCCTGGCTCCAGGCAAGCTGCCCCAACTTCCCGGCTGGCTCCCTCCTCCACGAGGCCTGCTCCCTGTCCTGACCTGTTCCCAGTTCATCCACAGGCTCACCCCTGCCCATGGGTGCCCAGCCCTGAGGGGTAGTACTGTCACCTAGAAGAGTGCACGCAGCAGGGCCTCGAGTACTGTCCAACAAGTCGCTGGCTGAGGCCTCGGTTCTGTTCTGGCGCAGCCCCACCCTGGGCTCCCCACAATTCAGACCACCTCTACAGTGGGGTCCTAGTGCTGTCCTGCCTGGACCTGCGTTCCCCTCGGCCCCAGCCCCCCAGGAACTCCGTGAGCAGGGACAGTGCAGGGCACAGGAGCCTGGCTACACCAGCAGACACAGTGACTGCAGTGTGCTCTGGACACACTTGCCAGGTGGGTGTGGCCACGCTTGGCCACTTCAGCCTGAGGTCAGAGAATGTGCACTTGGGCACTCTGGACTGGACAGCCAGCTGCACACCTGAGCACAGACGGACAGTAACATCTGTCCACAGGGCCTGCTCAGTGTCTGGGGGCCTCTCCCAAGTCCTCACTTCCCTCAGTGGTTAACTGCCCTTGGGTGGCCACCAAAGGCCACACAGCTTCTCCACTACTGCTGTCCCATCAATGGTCCGTCTGTTGATGGATGAACCTACATTGCCACGTCATTGCGCAGAGCCACACATTCTGGAGCCTGCGCAGGTGTGCAATGTCATGCCCACCACTGCAGTGCCACACGGGAAGCGGCCACTCCCTGAGCAAGTGGGATATGGACGAGGTGCTCACACCCAGGGCTAAATGAAAGGAGCCATCCTCATGTGGACGGCGGCTGGCAGGATGCACAGGGGACTCAGGGTTGGCACTGCCACTCTGGAGACCAGTGAGCACATGTGTAATCTGTGCGCTTCTCCAGATGCCACGTGTGAACACGTGTACACCTGTGTAGGTTCAGCACACACGCTCAGGAGGACGGGAGCCTGGACCCTGGCCTCCTGACTCTGGATAGCCCAGGAAGGCTCCTTGGCTGCCTCACACAAGGACCAACCTGCTGCCACCCGAGGCTCAGCACTGGTGGAAAGACAGGCCACCAAGAATCACGGTCCCATGGAGAGGAGCCTGAAACTGTTTTGCAGCGTAGGGAGCTGCAGGGCCCCTCCCCTCAGCTCTGCAGGCCCCTCCCCTCAGCTCTGCAGGCCCCTCCCCTCAGCTCTGCAGGGCCTGGCCAGGGCCAGAGGCACTGTGGTGGGAGGGGGCTGGGGGTATGCAGACACCGCACAACCAGGGCCCGTCTTGCTCTGCACAGGGCCCACGGCCGGGTCTGGCTAGTGCTCCCTGCACACGTGAACAAACAGGGCTCTACCAACCAAGCCCAGGCTGCAGCCACTGCCCCCGCGGGCCCGTCTGTTCAGGCCCACAGAGCAGAAGGACGTCCAGGTGAAGTGTGCAAAGGCTGGGACTCCAGCTGAGAGAACCCCTCCCCAACCAAAGTCACCCGAAGGACACCAGCACACAAGCAGCCTTTATTCCCCCCTCCACACACCTGTGAGCTTCTGCCACCCGGGAATCCACAGTCCACCCACCTGGTCACAGAGGGAGGCTGAGTGACAGCAATTTCCCCCTACCCCCCAAATTAAGAGAACTGAGGCTGATTCAAGAAACCTCATGGATACAGCCCATTCACCAATTCCAGAAGGCCCAGACGTCCCTGTCAGGAGTTTCCAGTTTGGACAGGAGCCATGCTGCAGCTAAAGGACTTTCTGCTACAGAAAGTCCCTCCCCTGATCAGTGTCCACTTGAGACCAGAGGGTCTCTACCCTTCAACGTGCACTTCTGGTCTCCTGATCATCAGACAGGTAACATAACAACTGGTTTTCTTCCAAACCCAAGCATCCCAAATCATCAAACCCAGATCGCAGCGTGGTATTTCCCTCAGGGTCTCTCCTGGACAGGGACAGTTGCTGGGGGAAGTGGCGACTGCTTGCTCCTCAGGGGTGGACAAGGAATGCTCAGCTGCCCTGTCAAGGTGTGGCTGGCCACCCTCCTGCAGCGAGGAGCCTCAGGCCAGACCCCTGTCCCACAGCAGAGCTCCCTGCTCAAGCAGAAAACATGAAGTCAAACAGAAAAGCAGCTCTGGCCCTGTGCCCAGCTGGTCACGGGTGGCAGACGGCTCCGCGGCAGACGGGGGCGGCCAGGCGCAGGAGCTGTCACTTCCCTGTGAGTTCCAGCACCTTCTTCACCATGGCCCCGATCCCGTCGTGGATGTGGTGGAGGGCGGTCTCACACATGAAGGCTGGGGTCGTGACCACCTTGTTTTTCTGGTCCACGTGAGCTTCGTGCGCTGAAGTTAAGGAAAAATCATCACCCAGCAAAACCAGAGGCGGCGGTGGGCCGCGGCGGGCACAGACTCTCTCCCCAGGTGCCCTCCCTGCCTCGGGGCCCCTGCTGGCCACTGGGCCCCTCAGTCAGGTGGAAGACTGGTTTCCAGCTCCCGTGTCCAAGAGGACAAGGGAAGCTGGGGAGCGCAGGGAGCAGAGAGCCCCTTCCAGAGGCACCACTCCAACGCGCTCCACCCGGGACCGAGGCTCTCCAGGCTCCAGCCCTCCTGACCGCCGGGTGGTGCCTGGGCCCCCAAGGTCCCCACGGGCACCTCCCCACACCATGCTCAGGACCACAGACCAGGCGACCCAGGGGACGCTGCCATTCAGGGGACGCTCACTGACCACTCAGCAGGTGGGCAGTGGGCATGGACACACGGACCTCCCTGGCCAATGCAGGCCCATCCTCCAAACACATGGCATTAGGCTTGCCCTCCTGGCCAAGGACATCCACAGCAAAACCAGCAAGTACAGTTCTTGGGGATGAGGCCCTCTGCCAGGGGACCCTAAAGGGCCAAAAGAGAGTGTCCCATGTGCGCCATGTCACCAGAGGCCATAGCCACCAGAAAGGATATGGTCACACCCTTCACACAGTGCTTGGCACCCAGGGCCTTGATGGCCTCGGCAGTCCCTGCGTAAGGCCACTTGCCACCCTCTTCCTGCTCATGGCCCACGGTGACTTCAACACCTCTGAGCACTTTGGCCGCAAGGACAGGCGCGATACAGCACAGGCTGAAAAGAGAAAGCCCCCCAGTGAGCACAGGGACTCTGTGGAGCTGGGGCACTGTCCATACCCCGCAAACCGGTGCCTTGCAGGTGGTGGCACCAGGTGACCCGGGGCTCTCCATGAGCCAAAAGACCCCTGGACAGTCCTGGGAGAGCCAGCCGTGAGGACCAAGGGGCACAGTGAGGCCAAGCTCCCCCAAGCCAAGTGGCTGCCAGCCGCCCAGAGCCCCTGTGACACCCAGAACCCTGGCGTACAGGAACACAGACGTCCTCTTACTGAGAAAATGGACGAGGCCACTTCACCCATCAACAGGGAACAACACATCTGTACCCACTGCTCAAACCAGACCCTGTCTGGGGGCAGGGCTAGTGTGGGGACACATCAGGTTCTGCTGGCAGTCTTGCTTGAGCTCTGACCTGTGCTGTGACCTTCAGTGTGCAGAGCCCAGCTGGCGTGCGTCAGAGGGCCCCAGGCGCAGAAGGCCAGGGGCTGTGACAGCCCCATCCACCCCCAGAGCAGAGCCTACAGTCTTCCTGTGGTGGCCAGGTGCCAAGGACAGGCCCGGTGAAGGCACCAGTGCCTGCCCTAGGGGACCTGCTCTGCTCTCCAGCAAGAGCTCTGACCCCAGTCAGCCAACGCAGGGAAACCCCAGGCCCTGGGTAGACTGCCGCAGTGCTGGGGTCCCCGCACAGCCCGCACCTTGACTGCGCCTCCCACAGTGCACCTGGGCTTGCTCTGCTCCTCAGGGGTGCCCAGCCCAGGGGCCGTCTCCAGGGCAGAGCCACCGGCCACACTGCACCGCCTCCAGCCTGGGAATGAGCTGCGACAGGGCTGGAGGACTCAGCAGCAAGTGCAGTGGCAGCTGTGGGCTGCACGGGGACGAGGTCACGTGGGACACTGAGCCTCGGCTGCGTGGGATTTCCTGAGGGAGGCTCGCAGCACTGCCCGGCCACTGTGACTTGGCCCTTGACAGAGCTGTGACCGCACCAGTGAAAGAGTGGGGGGTGAGCTCGCACAGGCTCAGGGGCTGCTCTGATGGAGGACAGGAGGTCAGGAGGACAGGGACACTGCTGCAGCCAGGATAATTCTGAAAGTCCCCACCAGAGGGGAGGAGCCCCTCCTTCCTGGTCAGTTCTCAAAAGAAATGGACTCCTGAGGACCACAGAGTGAGTGGTTTTGGAGCCCATGTGGCTCAGGGGGGCGGCTCCAGCAGAGGCTGCCCAGCCGCAGGTGCACCTACCCAATGGGCTTCCCAGCTCCGTGGAACTCCTTCAGGACCCGCTCCACGTCCTGGTTGACTCTGCAATCCTTCCCGTCGACAGCGAACGTGCTCCTGCCAGAGGAGAGGGCCTTCTCAGCGTGGCGTGGCAGGCCGTGGCGTGGTGTGGCCACGCAGCCGCACTCCAGGTGCGACCCCACCCCCAGGGCCACCTCAGCCCACTAGCAACCCGAGCAAGCAGCGTGTGTGGATGTGAGGGTGCACGGCTGCCCACGCCCACGCAGCCACAGGCACGCTCCTGCTTCCCACAGAGCAGCAGGAAGGCAAGAGGCCGCTGGGAGGCCGCCAGGCATGGACAGAGCCAGTCTGCGACTACACCCCGCTCCAGGGTCCAGGCACAAGCCCCGAAAAGCTCCAGGAGAACTGTAACTAGCCTAAAAACAGCAAGAGATGCTTGCTTCACCAAAAAGGACTGAAACGACATTTGACAAATGTCCACTTTCCTGCCTTTGAGAGCAGGCCACTGGGGAGGCCTCTGCACTGGGGGGTGTGCAGCTGGCAGAACCTTTCACACTCACAAGTGCACGTGCCCCTGCGCCCTCTCCACGCTCTGCCTCCAGAATCTCGGCCTGCTCTGTGTTCTCCTCCCACTCGAGGTCCTCACTCTTCTGGTGGTGAGGACAGGACACTCAGTGTCCTGTCGCAGCAACTATTCCAGAGGGTACGTAAGTGTGCTGAACTTGCCAAATTCACCCTTTAAATGTGTGCACGTTAACTGTGACTCCAAACACCACTAAAAACAAACAACTAGAAACACCTAGTGACCACCAGAAGGGACAACCTATCCTCCCAAGCAGGGCTGCGCTGGACAGCTTACAAACCAGCTCTGAGCTAGACCATGGGCCAGTGGGAACACAAGCACAGAGCAGGCTTCAGATGCTCCTGTCCAGCTACCTTTGGACCTTCCCATGTAAACAGGGCGCTGGCAGTGGTGGCCAGAGAGGGCCTGAGGTCAGGAGGGGGAGGGGGACTGGCTCCCCACCAAGCCTCTGTCACTGCGGGACCCTGCCCTGCAGGCCCAGCGGCAGCCATTCTATGGAGGGCCTACCTTTCTCCTGACAAGGTCACAAAGAACAGAATGGCAATCAGAAAGACCGCAGCGTCTCCCAGAGCGGACTGCGAGCCCAGACAAACAGTGTGACGGAGACCCACGGTCCTCAAATACCAAGGACTGCCCCAAGAGTCTACTTCTAAGTTAACACAGGGGACACCAGCAAGCCACACAGGAGGCATCAACAAACCCTACCACTGGCCTCTCACCCATGGGGCAAGGTGCTGATGGGCAGGGGTACGGTCACGTGAACTCTTCTGTCTTTCAGGGGAACAATGGTCCCGTAGGAAGCGGAAACCCAGCTGACGATGCGCACACCCTGCTGTGTCCCCAAGACCAAAGGACATGGGAATCCAGGAAAGGCACGTGCCTGCTGCCTGCCCAGGGGGCACTCACCAGCTCCCTGGTTTGGGGACAGGGAGTGCATGTGAGGCAGGACAGTTCCTCGAGGGAGAACGGTGTGGGTGCTGCAGCAGGGGTGGGAGTGGGAAGACCCCAGGAGCTGAGTTTCTGTATCAGGAAGGCCCAAAGGGCCTGTCCCTCCTTTGTGGGTCCAGGGCGCCCAGAAGGTGAGTGGCCAACAGGTTGCCGTGTCGTTGCCGGCAGAATAAATGTCAACTTGTCATCAACCACACTGGGAAAAGGACAATCAGTGGGCACCCGGCCTCAAGGCAGCTGGCCGCAGCACCCGGGTGAGCCCACTCCTCCCGCACAGAGTCTTAGGGCCTCAGGAGCTGGTTCAGCGGAGGCCAAGGCAGAGGAGGGGAGTCGGCTTTCAAACATTCAAATGACTCCTGCTGGAAGCGTGGGTCAGGAAAGCCTCATGCCTGCGACCTAGATGTGAATGCCACATGCGGGGGGAGGACACACGGGGAAGGGCAGCCAGGTGGGCGGGGCAGCACGAGGGGCACCAAGAGATCAGCAGGCGAGGGCCGGGCGGCCCGGGCTATGGGGGGGCGGCACCAGAGGGCTGGACATGGGGCAGGCAGAGGTGCAGGCAGCTGGACTCTGGCTCCCACGGGGCACTGTGGCACTTGATAGCTCCAGGGAAATGGCCTGGGGACTTGCAGAGCTCTGTGCAAGGCTCTCCCAGGAGAATCAGCATTGCCATCTCTAGGCTACAACACACCTAGGCCAGCCCCAGGAGGACTTCCACGAATGCACAGGGACAGAGAAAGGACCTCTAGCGAACCTGATGAGGACCTCCGCCTAAGACTCTGGCTGCATGCCAGGCCCTCAGTCACCACGCTGCTTCCTACACAGCAGCCCAGGAGGAGAGCAAGCAAGGCCCTTCGCTCCCGGGCTACAGAGACCAGTTTTCCCTGCTACAGGCTCTGAGAGAACTGGTCCCGGGAGGGAATACGCACTCAGTGGCTGATTCTGCCCAGACGAGATCCACCAGCATGGAGCTTAGCGAAGAGGGCCCCAGCCCACCCTGTCAGCCACCAGGTGCCACGAGAGCTCAGAGAATGCAGGGAAAGAGACACGCCTCACTGAAATGCTACCTGGGCCCCAGGCCAACGTGGCTCCCTGAGCTGGACACAGGCAGGCACACAGCCAGACCTTCAGCTCAGGGCAGGTGTGCATGCTGCTTAGACCCTGAAGCTTAGATACGCACAGATTTTTGGCAGCTCCAAAGCCTCCAGGGAAGATGGCAGCATCGTGGTTGGCTGCACTGAGCTGAGCCAGGTCAGAGATCTTGCCTCGGGCGATCCTGGCTGACTCCGTCAAGACGTTCCTGGGAGAGAGCACAGAGGGACACAGAGGAACAGTGTGCAGTCAGGAACAGGAAACAGGTACCCATGGGACGCGTCCTGCACGCAGCTTGCAGCACAGAGGGACTGTGTTGGTGTGTGAAGACTTGATGCTTGTCAATCAGCACTTAGGATGGCCACCCAGAAGAGGTGAGAGAATTCCAGTGGCCCTAAATTTATGTCAGAGGTTGGCCCTGCCCAAGGACTTGGAGCCAGGAGCCACCAGGAGTGGAAACTCATCGGGAGGTAGGAGAAAGGAGGGCGGGGAAGGCACCACTACTCCAGAGGTGCGAACCAGCCAAGGCTCAGTCACGGCAGGAAGCAACTGCCTGCCCAGGCTTGTGGGGCAGGTGCAGGCTTCAGGGGCCAGGGTCTCAGGAGGGGAAACGACAGGGGTCCTACATGGGGCTCCCAGGAAACACAGCAACAGCACCTGAGAGGCACCACCTGTATGGAAAGGAAGGCGTGAGCACCGGGAGTCACAAGAGGCAGCCCGCGAGGTGCTCCCACTCTTGCAGAAAGCACAGCGGGTGGGGAATATCCCGAGCAAAGCAGGTGCTCCTGGACACACCTGCTTTCACTCTCAGAAGGCTGCCCCTTGGTGTGATCCACCACGTGCATCTGACGGACATCGGGGGCAAAGATCTGGACCTCAGCCCCGCCACGGCTCAGGTGCACCAGGATCCTACAGGGAGAGAACCACAAGACCACAGCTTGGGGCATGCCCCGTCCAGAAGATTCGTGTCAATGTGCTTTTCAAAATGGATTTCAGCTAAGTGACAGACAAAAATCCCTAGTGTATGAGATACCATATTTGCTCTGCAAAGTTAGGGTCACTTTGCTAATGGCCCAAATGCCAGTGGTGCCAACTCACCTCCCCCCGGGTGGACCACAGCACAACTGCAAAAGCTGGCTTTCAGACAAGAGAGGGCAGCCGGGTGGTGAATGGATGGGCGCCACAGCCCAGAGGTGTTCAGGTTCCCAGGCACCCTTCTTCACTCAGAACCTATCTGACCTCCTGTAGGCTGCCCACATGACTCTCCAAGTGTTAGGGGACAAGCAGAAGAGAATGGTGGGAGCACAAGTTTAAGAAAATAATTCTATAAAATGGGCCCACTGTGCAGACCCCCACATGCTTTCTTCCTTTTTTTTTTTTGGGTACCAGGATTGAACCCAGGGGCACTTAGCCACTGAGCCACATCCCCAGCCTTTTATATTTTATCTAGAGACAAGGTTTCACTGAGTCGCTTACGACCTCACTAAGTTGAGGCTGGCTTTGAACTCGCAATCCTCCTGCCTCAGCTTCCTCAGTCACTGAGATTACAGGTGTGTGCCTAGCCCCGTATTTATTTTCCAAGAATCAATTTACCTGAAGCCCTGCCTGGCCTGAGTGGACAGGCTATGTCACAAATTCCTCAGCAAACTACCTGCCTTAAAAATGCAGGACTGAGATAATATCGATGGGAGAAACCCAGGTTACCCTGAAGGGGGAGACTTTTGTGAGCCTTTTCAAAGACCAGATTCTGAAACTGAGGGAGATAAGAATAATTCTTCCTAACTATAAAATCTATAAGAATGTATGGTTAAGAATCCAATTAGAACTGGTCAGCATGGGACAAGGTGACCTAAGTTGTCAAGGCAGTGGGAACTTGAAGGGTCTGATGTCACCTTGCTACCAGTCAAAAGTCAAGAGGTGGACCTGGGTGGGACTCTCTGGAAACTTTTCTGGGATCCCCAATAAAACTGGAGTGCAGAAGAGGTACTTTTCCCTCTCCTCTCTGAGACTTCCCACTCTGTCCCTTGAGAGTGTCCCCTTTCCCTTTTCTTACCCTGCAGTAAACTCATTCCTGTTACCCTAAGCAACATGTCTGAAATCTTTCTGACTTGATCACAAGAATGGGGTTTGGAAGTGTGTGTGTGTGTGGGGGGTCTTTGTGCTGCCTCAGTTTCCTGGAAGGCCCCAGCCCTGTAATAGAGGGGACAGCAGCAGGTATGCAACACAGAAGAATGAGGAGGGGCCTCTGGTTACCATTTAGGAAGTCCCATTCCTCATCTCCCCCAACTTTCCTGCATGAGTAGTGGGGGAGAGGTGCAGAGCTACATAGGAACAGGATAGAATGAGGTCCACCTCCCCAAGGACACTAGACCACAGTGGGGGCAATACTGGAATTGACTAGGGTTTTCCTCTGTCTGCCACAATTCCAAATACCAACAAGTCCAGGTTCCCTAATCCTGCCCAGAATGCTACTCTGACTGCCCCCCCCCCCATACACAGAGGAGGAAACTGAGGCAGGAAGGGTAATAACTTGCCCAAGATCACACATTGCCTGCAGATAGGATCTGGTCCTGGTCACCTTAATGCTTCAAATAGTGCCTTGCCAAATAGCCCAGGACGTCCCCATTCACTGGCCAGTTCCTGCCTCATCCACTCTTTCTATCCATGCCCAAATTAGGAAAGGCATCGGGCCCTTTAGTACACCAGCTCAATCCCTCAGAGGCTCCTTATGTCTGGGCCAACTCCAGGCCCCAGCTAGCACAGTGGTAGCACCCTCAGGGTGGCTGCCCTGCAGAGCCACAGCCTCGGGCTCCTAGTGGATGACGTTCCTTTCTAACCTATGAACCAGAAGAGAGGTGGGGGATCTGCCTGTGGGCACTGAGCACCCTACTGCCTGCCTACCTACCTTTCCAGCAAAGCAAAAAACCCACAGTCACTACCTCGGCCACTAGAAGATTACCTTCTGCACCCCACCAACAGACGGAAGTTAGCTTCCTTGCAGAGGGAACACCAAGTGCACTAAGCCCGATCCCCATGTTTCTATACGTACTAAAAAGCAAGTGAAACGTCACCGAAGCGAAGACAACTTTTGCCATTTTTAATGCAAGAAAAGGTATGGACAATAGGAGCTTTTCTAAATCGCTGGAGAGTTCCCGCTGAGGACTTACGCTGAGGCCTCGTGGATCTCCGACCCGTCATAGACTCCGCAGCCCGACAGCACCTGCGGAAAGAG